CAACGTGCAAACGCACTCTAAAAGGCTGCGGAGAGTTGTGTAGAATCACCGAAGACCTAAATACAAAATGCCAACGTGTCTACGACACTCGTAAGGCAGTGAAGATCGATGCAGATATGCAAAAGTATACCTCTGGCGAGGCAAGTGCCCAACGTGCTTGCGCACTCAAGAAGGCGATATGACGCTAGCTAGAGCTTAAAAGAATACCTCAATGAGGCAGTGACCTGATGTGCAATCGCAGTCAAAAGGCTGGCAAAAGGCCTCGAGTGGTCTCGCGCGGCGCCTTATATAGGCGCCTAAGCGAGAATTAACCGTGAGAAGCGGCTCCGCGTCGCGGCGACGGCGCGCACTGGCGGCGGGAGGCCGGCGACCGGTTGATCGGCGCTTGGGGCTCGGCCGCCCGCCGTACACGCTCCGCACGGGCACCCAGCTGCCGTCCGGAACAGGCCCAAAGACATGGAAAAGTGATTTTGCTACATGATAATGCCGGCTTATACCACAAAAGTTGTCAAGAAACTTTAAAAGAATTGAATTGGGATATGCTACCTCACCCGCCAGTAGTATATGTACAGCTTCCGTGAGACAGAGCGTGGCCTATTTTTCGGTGGTGGGAATAAAAGCTGGCGCCAGTGTGTCAGGGGTGGGGGAAGGGGGTCCAGGTTTCTTTTTTTAAAAGAAAAAATCCACCGTTTATTTATATGTATATATAATCGTGAATACATTTCTACTTATTTCGTATACATTTGGAAATGCAGTATTAAATGTAATGTTGAGAAGTACGGAGTATGGAGCACTTAAGCTGACAATTGGAGAATATTTTATCGAATAATTTTACAATCATTTGGTCGTTTCGCTCGAGATCGGTATAAAAAAGTTTAATAAATTGATTAAGATTATAACCGCGGCACATATAATAAAGAAAAACGTAAGAATATTGTCCACAAGTTTGCGCTGAATATCCCTGTAGTTGGATAGTGTTCCATCGCTGGGTGATGGAATTTCTTCTAAGTCGAAGAAGGAATCTGGAGTCGATCGGGGGTCGTCCGTAGCTGTCGAAGTATGTCCCCGTTCCATGTTTATCGACGTAGAAGGCGACCCAGTGCTGTCCTGGACGGTCATTATTGTCGGTATTAGCGACTATCGCCGTCGACCTCGTCCACACCTTCGGTACTAGGTCGACTGGGTAGACCCCTGAGTGTCTAACATCGAGTTGTTGAATCGCTTGTAGAATTTCGAGCGAATTCATTTTGGCAGGATAGAGGATATGTAAAGTATTTACTTTGGGTATGATCACTGTTATTTCGTCGTTCGTTCTATCTTCCGTTGTTTTCGCTCCTTCGACAGTTCTCTTTGCGGCTTCCTCCGACGAAGGCTTTGTTGTTGTTGTTTGGGGTAGGCAGAAATTATAGCAAAAATCTACGCTATGGTCGAACGACTCCTCGCTCACTTCACTGATGCTGCTGAGCCTGTCCATCCCCTCCTCCTTCTCCTCCTCATCCTCCTCCTTCTTCACAACCTGCTCCCACTTCTTCAGCTCTCCGTTTTTCTCCCCATACCGCTCTCGCGCGTTTAACCACTCTTTTAATTTAGCTGCGTTGTTTAACGCGCAATGAAAATCAGAGCCCCACACTGTCACATGATAGCCATGATATATGCACCTTATATCGCGCTCGCTCGATAGCAAACATTTGAAGGAGGGAGATATTTCCTCAAGATTATATACCTCTCTCCCTAGTAAATTACGCAAATCCGTTTTCTCTCTGCCCTGGTATAAATCGGTCGGGCGTTTCTGGATATTTCGCGCAAGTGCTGGAACAAATATTCCGGATCGGTTTCTCCGTTCCACCACTCGATCCCGTGATAATTTTTTGTGAGCCAGTAATTTTACCATCTTGTCTTCTCCTTCAATGTGCCAAACGGATATTGCGGTCGTAAAATCCAG